ACGTTTCGTCAGAATCTACGAAAAATAGATATTTTTAGTAACTTTCATCGCAAAATATTATGCAAGAAATTAAAGCTTCGCGTCAAACATAGATGTGTGCTACTCGCTAAATGGTCTTTCTTCCATTTTGTCTGATTGTCAGAGAGAAGGGTATTTTACATATATTTCTGAGGACTGATCATGAATCTTCTTACTTTCGTCACCTTGCGCGATATAATATTATGCTTATGCTTGAACGTAAGTAGCCAATGTTGTGAAGCAGTGAAACCATATAAAGATTCATTCATAGTTTTCTTCAACGCCCATCGACGAAGGTCAATATCATGGACGGGTAAAGCATTACCACGAGCCCGTTCGAACATATCAAATACATAGTCATCGATTTTGTCAATTTTCTGTTTCTTCGTATCGTGTCTCTCCAGGTATCGACGAAAACGAGCGATGTAGTTTTGATGTGGTATGCGGTAGAAGTTATGTTTCACTGTCGACCACCGTCGTTTTCGGGCTAATTTCATCGTAGAAATTGACCGCTAGAATCATTTAGTCAAGTGAAAATTTGCTAAGCAATATCCTATCCTCATCTTCTTCACCATAATATTCGAGATCAAGTGATTCTTCATCTTCGGCATTTTCGTCCTCTACTTCATCAGTCAACTATCGAACAAAGAATGTGAGCACATAACATTCATTACAGCAACGAGGTGGTGTGCCGAGAAAGAAAAAGAAAAGCAACAGTGTCAATAATGAATCATCCTCGTCCATCCATTAAGAATCATTGTGCTTTAAAATGATATCAAAAACAAAATGAAAATTTTGTGTACTATTTGGACTCATGAATAATGAATAGAATTGTTATAGATAGGATTATATTCAACTCTCAAATTAAAACAGATTCGACAAAGAGCGCATAATATTGGAAAAAAGCTTCAGCCATTGATGTTTCACTTTTCTCACAAAAAAAGTCATCGATCATTCTATTCTTGTTTCTTCATACAATATCTTGAAAACTCAATATCTTAGGAATAAAGACATGAGGGAATGAATCCTTTTCAGGTCTTTCATATATCATTGAGATCTACTTATAGCCAAAAGATGGGCTCTAAACGGCTTGAACACTTGGAGACCTTCCCTCGTGAGTGTCGGTATCGAACAAGAAGAGACCAAAATCACACCCGCATCCATACCCCAATTCTTTTAAATCTTATCATATTCGAAGTTGAAGAAGAATGAATCAATAATTATATCCTTTACTTGATAATTTAATTACTTCAAGAAAAAAGGATTTTATATATACAGAAAGTGGTTTCAGGTTCAGGAGCACATGTATGATAGAGAAAAAAAATGGAAAACCTTTGTATATGTTGGTTTTTTCTTTATTTGTATTGTTGAATTACAACAATATATTGTATTTTTGCGACATCAACAAGCTACTCACAAGAAATTTAAAAAAAGTTTTCATGTTGCTACTCCCTAATGGTAACTGGAGTTGCCAAATTATCGTGCACACAGGAAAATGCACTTGATCGATCTGTTTATATTACTGATCTACTAAAGAGAACAATGCTCTGTTTCAATAATTGTTTTATTAGTGAGTCTTCTGGAATCGTTATGGGGGTTAAGGGTTAAAGAAAACATTTCAAGAGAAAATGAAATCATTTTCAATTTATCTCACATCTTATGTATTTGAATTGAAATTCATTTATTCGATAAGCTTAAATTAAATCAGAGATATAGAGTGTCAATGAAAATATTGACAGCGTCTTTACCAAAACTGAAACCCTGATACACTCATACAGTTCAGCTGTGTCTGGTACACCAGTGAACATCGATGTCTCTGTGAGATCAATATTACAGTGGAAGTCAATGTCAGTGATAGATATGTGCGGGACCAGTCGCTGTCTACGAGACTGAGACCGCTAAAAATTTGGATTATGACCGGAATCAAGACTGAAAAATACTTCGCTTCGCATACTCCTAGTCGGTGAACACTGGTGGTAATCTAGTCAGTGTTTCGGTGATCTCAGTGTTGGTGACGTCGGTGAACAGTATACTAGCACTACAAATTCCTAAATTAAATTAATAGATCATCAAAGATTCAACATAAAAAATCTGATTAACTTTATTATAATCCAACTATGCATATTCGAGGAAATGGAAATATCCTATCTTTGACTTGTTATGTTTTAATTACATATGAAATTACTTCTATAACAGAATATTCTGATTTAATTGTACCAGAGAAATGAGTCGACTATCTGCTATAAAATTTCTAGCAATTTCATATCAAATGTTACTTACTGTTCCTATTTTAAATGCTCTTTCAAACGAGTTTCTAAGATTCTACATATTTATTGAGTTCTAAGTATCTTTTATAAATTTAAAAGAAAATAATTGAAAACTTTTTTTCATATTATTTTCAACAACTTTTGATTTATTTCAATAGCATATTTCAAAACTTATTTGGTACTATTGTTTTTAATGAGTAGAATCATTGAAAATTATGCACATAGAAATTTACATGGGTATAATGAAGAAAAAAGAATAATGAACTGAACCGAAGCTTTACATATCCGAATGTATAATTTAAATTGCAATAAAAGAATTTATTTCACGATAAAAACTACAGCAAATTATAATTAAAAAAAAACATACCAAAAAAAGTTGTCAATAGGAATATGTTTTCCGAAAAAATCAGTAATGTATCAAATATATTTTTATATAAATCATTTTGTTTAACCAACATGATATGATATTATAGAATATTAACAAAAGTATTTTGAATTTGAATTTATATTTTTAATAACATTATTTCATCATTCATCAACTTTGATATAAATTGAGATATGAATAATAAACATAGGTGTAACATTACTAAATGCAAATATGATCAAGAACAAATTTGATTAGAATAAAATCGAAATAAAATAGTATCAACTTTTTGATGAAGTCTTTTATTTTTCATGATAATTTTGTTATATATATCATATTCATTATTTGATACATAGTTCTTATGAAACTACAATATGAATTCAGTAATATTCATCTTATAGAGATAATGAATAAGCTGCTTATGTGAATAAATTATGATATAAGGGATTTAATAGTTCTAATAGTTCATAATCGGAGATTACATACGAAAAATGTAATAATAAATGTAAAATAATTTGCAGTTGTTTTATACATAATTAAACATTTTTAAATGTATTTTTTATAGATTTTTGTTCATCATAAATATGGTAATGAAAGATGTCTTTTTTTTTGTTGATGTCCTTTAAAGAGTATATTATAAATATGTGTAATATTTGAGATAAGATTTCATTATTAAATATTTAATAATAAACAATGTTTTTCTGCTAAATATGATCAATTTTAAGTACTTTCTTGAAAAAAACGTTAAGTTTTCTATATATATGTATTTACAAACAAGCAGTTTATCGATAATATATACGTATGGTTTTCATTAATTTTATACAAGCTATCAACAACAAAAAATGACATTTTAATGTGTTGTCTAAAATATTTAATAATAAAAACAAAACGTTTTTGTCTATGTCGTTGAAAAAACTGCTTTGCATGAGGATACAGGATATAATATCAATATTCATAGCAGTAGTTTTATGTTCACATACTTTACAATGCATAACGATGTTTGATATAAGATTAATTTCTATATTATTGTCTTACAACTCTATTTATAAAGATGTTATTTAGAGTGTATGTGTGTAAGGCTTATATACAGCAGAGCTGCCAGCTTGGGCTACTGCGCAGCAGATCACCAGGCCAGGTCGAACTTTGAAATTTTAATCTGTGTACGATGTAATATTATTTTCCCTAATATAACTTGAAACATACGATAGCACTAAAAGCTCATGATTTTGTGAGGGTATAGACGTGGGTCTTCTCTTCACATATACAGTCACATCCGTTTATCTCTTCGTTGTATGTCTGCTTATATGTTGTTTTTCTATTATAATTACACTTTTCCGATTATGTAAAATAATGCTGATATATATTCAGAAATATTTCGATGAATCTAGTGTTTCTTGTATCAAAAACATTATTGATAATTTATTTTTTTGTTTTTAATTTACTATTTTGTCTAAGAATTTGTTATTATACTGTCTTCATGAAAATAAATTAAATCTATAATTGAAACTACAGAACGCTACATTAAAATAAAGCTATAAAACTTAGTGAATTGAAAAAGAAACACAAATATCAATCGTCCCGATTTGTCCTGTAGACTCCTTCCGATCGAGCTAGACCGAAAAAAGTGGCCTGCTGACAGTTGTAGTCTACTTCCACACCAGGATAGATATCATAGATGTCGTGAACTGTCTTGTAATTGTATTAAGCCATATTCAAAAAATATCATTGGAATCATAGAAACATTTCCTTATATAAGCAGAATTATCAATTCTTATATAGAATTAAAAAATGAATCTTTGGAAAAAAAATGCCCATCTTATAGAAATTCGTCAAGATGCGAATAAAATACCCATTTTGACACAATTAAAAATCGTGACGACCTGATCGGCAGATTATAAAACCTCGCAATCATGGAACATTTTTATTTTTTTCCTCAGAGAAATCGACAATTATTCTTGAATCCTATTTGAAAAACAATAATGCATTCCTCTTCCCTCCCTAATGTCAAATGTCTCGGACAATCGAAGATTAGAAAATTTTGATAATTCTAACATCTACTAGATATTTTTCAATATATGAAATAATAAAATTTTTTCAAATTAAACGAAATCACAATATATATGATTGATTTTATTTTGCTTTTTTTCTTATCAATAGATCAACAAAAATTTTCTTCGATTTCATATTCGTTCATAAATCTAGACTATAATTCACACATATTGTTATTACAGAAGAATGTTTTAGATTAAAATAAAAAATGCGAAAATACGAATAGAATTATATAAAATTTTTGTAAAAAACAATGAAATATATATATATATGTATATTTTTTTTCATTTCAATTCTGTCTTTTATTCATTTAATTCAAATGTATCATATTTAATTTTCATAATTCCACCACCACTTGTATTTGGTTCTTGTAATGCATACCAAGCTATGCTTGTTTTTTCTGGATCCAAATTTGATAAATCAATTTGAAGCTTGAAAAAAACAATTTAATAAAAAAAAAAAATCTTTGTTTGTCTTTTTTTACTTACATCACCCATATATGTTTGCTCGTGTGCAAAGAATGGTGAATTATTTTTAACACTTAAATAAAGACGTTGTCGACGTACATCAACTAATGATGCTGGCCATTCAAATCTAAATAATAATTTATATTTTATTAATTTCATTTAATTATTTCTTACAAATCTTCAAATTTTGGACTGAATGTATCATGAACAGATTTTGTTTTCTTTTTATCATTTTTAAAATCTGGTAGTAAATAAAGACGTACATATGGATCAGGTAAATTCTGTTGATGAACTTGGATAAGTCCTCTTGAAAAAAAAATTTGTTTTTGTCAAATTAAATTTTTTATAAAGAACTTACTGGCATGCATATATAGTTACGGATAAAGATGTACGAGGAACAGCATAACGAATACCAAGTTTTATTTTACCATACTGTGCTGATCTGTGTTTTTGTTTTTTCATTGAAGAATAATTTATAAATTGAAAATAAAAAAAAATTTCTTACTTTAAATCAGGATCATCAGATATGACAATACTTTTTCTGTCAGGTGTTATACGATTTTCCAATAAGGACCGATGAACATTTGGTGTCAACTATTTATCATAAAAAGAAATTAATTATTAAGCTTTACTTCATTCATAGTTGCGTAAAGATGATAAATCAATGAATGTCATAGATTATGAAATATTATCTTCAGAGGTTTGGATATTTGCGAAATTAGTAATATGGAAAGTTAGATTTCAGGTTCAAAATTTTAAAAAATCCTATTAACCGTTATATAGGTCTTTGAATTTAAACAGAATCTATATAAGTGATATGAATTCCATACTAGAGTCTTATGGAATAAAATTTTTTCAAGTTTTCGAATCTCGTTTGCTCTGTCGTGTTTTACTTTCAAAATGTTCCGATTCTGAATGCTTCGCGGGACGAGACAAACAGGATTTTTCAAGATTTGCAACTATCCCGTAGAACTTTACTCCATACAGATATTAACGGTGTTTTATTTATGTATTCCAATGAAAGAATAAATATTCGAAAATGAAATATAACTTTGTAGTTATGGAAATGATCATGATTACAAAATAATATACACATGATTATTTGATAACTTGAGGAAAATTTTAAAACTCTATAACAATGAAAACCTCATTTAGTATAATTTATTGAACTTTCAAACAACTTATTCAAACTCTTCTATTATATCCTTCAACTGATGAGATACTATGAATTAACTATAAAAAAAAACACAGTATTTTTCTAATAAAAGATAGAGTATGAAAGTATTATTCAACTATGAAGATTTTTCAATAAATGTTCGATTTCAAATACTTTAACATAATTTTGTAGTATTTATACAATCTGAAATGCTTCTTACAACTTACTTATATATATAATTATAAAGATCAAAGAATTTCTACAATATGTGTTACTCTTTGATAGTCGCGCTAAATACATTAAATTTCTTTTGAAGAGAATAGTTCATAAAAAACTCTATACGAAATAAATCAAAAACAAAAAATATCAATTGTTAAATCTTTTTAAAACTAAGAAATTGAGAAGACACTCTATTGGAAGAATTGTTTTTTCATTTAAACATTCCTATTCAAATTTTTGAATACAATAAAACTTCAATCTATTAGATTCAATCTTGAAATGACTTTCTTTGTTCTCTCCTGATCTATACTAAATAATATTGAAATAAATTAAATTGAATATCATACTAATGATATTCTCCAATATTTACATGTGTTTGAACACCAGATGTAATTGATTTCGATGAATTCTCTCCTTCTAATGATGTTCGAAGTGATATTTCGTTCGTAACTTTACGTTTACCATCTGTTATTATATTTGTTCCTGATGTTGATGACATATCAAATGATTGTGTACTACAAGATGATGGTGTTCGTACTACTGAATTTAAATGACTTGCACTTGAACGTCCCGGAGATAAAATCTTTTTTGAGAAAATAATAAAACAAAAATCAATGAACTTTTCTTTTATTAAAGGACGATGTGTGTAAGTACGCATTTCGATCCCTGTTGATTGTCAAGATTCAATCTAATTGAGTTATATAGAGAATGAAAGATCACAAGTTTCTAATCAGTTTGATTCGATTATGGCTTGGAATAATGTCTATATTCATGACATGCTGTATGAGTAATTAGTTATTGATACTAGTCAGTAAGAATAGTCATTCAAAGATATTCTGATAGATACTTATTTCGGTTACATATTTATAATAGAACTATTGATTTAAAATAATGTTTTGAATTTACTAGACCATATAGAATTTTTTCATTGCTTAAATTTTGAATTTAAAATATTCATTTGTTGTTTAATTATTGTGTTAATAAAACTTCTTGCACATTTATTTCACTTCGTAATCAATAGAGTTTTTCAAGCGTTACAAAACATACTACTTTTTATGTTCTAAAAAAGTGAACCACATAACAAAACTTTTAATTTATTATTCTTAAGGTTCAATTTTTAACTTTTTCTACGATTTTTTTGTTCTGATCAAATTTTCACCTCCACGATCCGTCTTCAAGAATATGTGGAAAAATAAATTTAATTAAATCAACTATTTTATTGTTTGTCACCTGACTTTTTGTCTTCAAATAATACTTCGCAAGTTTCGAACTGAGTTTTCACCACTTTTAACTAAATTCATTTTCTCACATATCATTGAGGGAGTCCCGAAGGTGAAAATTTGATCAGAAAAAAAAGTCATAGAAAAATTTTGAAACATAAAACCGTAAAATATAAATGCAAAAGATTAAAAATTGGGCTTCAAGAATAATGAACTAAAGGTTTTGTTATGTGGTCCACGTTTGTTTTTAGAACATACAATGTAGTATGTTTTGTAGTATTTAAAAAATTAAGTATGAAAGAAGTTTCATTAACACAATAATTAAACAACAAATGAATATTTTAAATTCAAAATTTAAGCAATGAAAAAATTCTATATGGTCTAGTAAATTCAAAACATTATTTTAAATCAATAGTTCTATTATAAATATATAGTCGAAATAAATATCTATCAGAATATATTTTTGAATGACACTTATTGCTGACTAGTATCAATAACTGATTACTCATATAGTATGTCATGAAGATCGACATTATTCAAAGCTATAATCTAATCAAACTGATTAGGAACTCATGACCTTTCATTCTATATAAAACTTAATTAGATTGATCGAAATGCATTCTTATGCACTCCCTGCCCCCATCTTTTACTTACAAAAAGTGATAAACGAAGAATAATTGTTGTTCTATCTAATGGTTCAGATAAACTTCTAAGTGGATATGATTGCGTATCAATAGTCATTGTGTCAGTATCAAAGATTTGTTTAATTGGCATTTCAAAATATGCAATTATTTCATTATTATTTCGTGCATCACATACATCAATTTTTAATTTTTCATGAAGTGGATTAGCACATAAAATTTGTGATACATATTCAAATTCTGGATCTGTTTTACTTTCAAATGTTTGAGTTTTCATTTCAGTTGCTTCAACTTTAATTCGACAAAATGGATTTGGTTCTCGACGATTTTTTTTTGATCGCTAAATATTTAAAGATTGTAAACGAAAAATAAAATAAAATAAAATAATAATTATTTTTCTTACAGGAAGATTAGTACATCGATCAATAAAACAAACAAGTAAAGCTTTTGATAATTTTTCTCGTTTTATCATTGAATTATTTTTTCTTTCCATCTAAACATTTTAAAATACAAAATTTTTAATAGAAAAACAAAAATATTTATTTTTATTATTATTTAACATACAATTTCAAGTGCAGATTTTTGTTTTGTTAATGAAAAATATTGTAATCTAACATTTAATGAACCTTTTTTCACATCTTGTAATGTTAACCACTAGAAAATAAATAATTGATAGTAGATTTTATAATTTAAATATAGATAACATACAGTATCAACAGGATCATTATCAACCAATGCATTAAGACGAAATTGAGCTCTAAGATATAACAAAACAAAAGAATTAAAATTTTTCCGAATCAAGAAAACTTTTCGCTTTTTTTTCCAGCGGAACTGAAATTTTTTCGTACATTATCTTAGGAAAAAAACAATCGCGACACCTTCACCAATGTTAGCTACGTGCTCAAGATAAACTTGTTTGTCTTTTAAAATAGCTATTCTTTCTTGTATTTGTAAAAGAAAGGTAGAACTAGTCATGGTGAAATCATTTCTATGCATGAAAATGTATTAGAAGATAGTAGACTTACAACAACAACAACTTAGAAACATGCCCATTACCATGTTTTATAAGAATCAAAGATGAAAGTTTGGAATATGATCAATTGTTTCTATTACAAAGCATTAAAACATAAGATAATATGATTTTAAGTTTTTTCTACAATGTAAACTCTAACAAGAATTTTCCAAGAATAGGATTTCTGAAATATCAAAACACAAGTTTTTCTGCTCTTATAACTTACAAATAGAATTCTGTATGAATTGCATAAAATGATAGAGCAAACTAGGAGTGTAACTCATCATTGAAGGTAAACGAGCGCAACATAAGCAAATGTCAAAAGTGGAGATCGCGGCGTAGTCAAATTTTAAAAGAAGAAGGTGCGCTACATAGACAAGTTTCAAAATCAGAGGGGTGTTGCACCCCTGAAGCAAACAATGAAACGTCTTTCAGCGCTTTACAACTTTATAAGTCTAAAAATCAATATCACTTTTAACTAGTTTTAAGTTTACGGTCAAGTTCTTCTTTCTTTTATATTGCCATGCTACAGTGACTATGTTATTCGACACGTATTCATAAGGTACTATGTTTATATCACCAGTTATGGAATGATTTAGGACAAACCATTAACAGATATTTGTCTTTTACTATTTATAATTAAAAAGAGATATGCTTCTTTAATAAAATTTTTATTCGATTTATCTATTCTATGATTTAAATTTATGATAAAAGATTAAAAATTCTAAAAATTTATTTTAAACATAATTTACCTTCCAATAAAATCATCTTTACCAGGATCTTCATCATATACTTCAAAATCAATAGCATCACTTTCATATTGTTCAACAGGAAATTCAAATACCTTATTTTTCAAATAACAAAAAATAAATAAATAAATAAATAAATAAAACAAAAGAAAAAATCAAACATACTTCATTCCATTCGGGATCTGTTGTGTTATTAATTGTTTTTGTTTTATATTCAACACTACCTGGTACTATAGATATAATAAAAAATTTATCATTCTTAAAAATATACAAAAAAGAAAAACTTCTCTTATACCTTTAACTTTAACAAATGGATCACTTTTTCCTTTTCCAAGAAATGTAATATCTGCTTTAATTAAATTTTGTGCTCTCAAAACAAATACTCGTACAACACCCTAAAAAAAAACAACAATTAATTTTACTATTTACATGCCAATAATATAACCTGAGGATTAGACCATCTTAAATGTGCTATTTGTATATCATTAACAAGTGGAAAAACTTGTCTATTAGGTAAAACCATCATTGATGCTACAATATCATTTATTTGAGTAATCATTAAATCACTATTAAAATAAATAAATAAATAAATTCACATTTAATATTTTAATCTTTTAATTTTGACATACTTAAGACCAGGTATATCAACTAATGTTCCAGCATCAGTTAATTTAAAATCAATACTCTAAAAGTCGACTTTTATTTTTCACAAAAATAAATCTTTTTTGTTTTTTTTGTACTTACAGGTTTTTTAAGAAAAAAATATGATACTGCACCAACTAATGGAATTGTATTAATTAAAGGACTTAAAATAATTCGCATATCACCAACAAATTGTATATCTTTAATTCCACATACAATTCCTTTTAATTTTGCTTTAATACATGCATCACCGGCATAACTAACAAAAAAACAACAACAACAAAGAATTATTGTTTCACAAATTAAAACAATCATTTATAAAATAACATACAAAACTTCAATATCCATCATAATTTGATCACGAACATTATCTGTATAAACTTTAATACCTCCAATTCTAGGTGGCTAAAAGTAAAAGTTTAATTCAAAAAGAAATCAACTTTTAAGAAAAAAATACATACGATTTCTCCAAGATCAAGTTTTTGAAATGAAAAATCTGCTAAAATCGATGATGTTGCATGAATTAATGGAACAAGTGAATCACGAAAAACAGCTTGATCAAGATATTTATTTGCATATGGCCATGCTTGTTTTATTATTCGATTCAACCATTCTGCTCGTTCAATATCAGGAAAAAATACCTATAAAAGAAATGAATATGTTTGTTTGTTTTGGAAAATTTTATTTACCCATGATGGTAATTCATCTAAACGTGCTTTAATATATTGTTCTTCATTTTTATTTATTTCATTTAACATTTTACGACGTAATTTAAATTGATTACGTTGACGTTGTCGAAATAAATATATAAATGCAGCAAATAAAATCCATGATACACTACAGTGAAAATATCCTAAAAAAAACAAAGAACAAACGAGTTTAGTTTTATATATATATTTTTTAAAATGATTTTCAACTTCTCTTGGAATCTATTTTTAACGATGATAATCTATGAAAGATTCTATAATGGGATTTTGAAAAGTATTTATTATCTGTATTAGTCCATTCGAAACATTTGACTTCTTCTATGTCAAACTATCATATAAAGTATCCGAAAGTGAACCTTGATAGAATTAGTCAATAGCTGTCACATTTACGTTGAACTCGATTATTGATGATAATCAACTCTTTTTATCTACCCATTTCATGATTGATCAGATTATTGTAATATGATTTGACAGTAGCTTTTAAACGCTTCAAAACGATATAAAAACATTGACTACTAATAGAAATCCCAAGAACACTATTCTCGAAACAAGATTTTTGAGCTTTTATGTTTCACTGGTATTGAGTAGATTTCGATAAGAAAATTAATATTTATGCGTAAAATAATATGATATTCTAAATCAACATCTCGAGTTGAGTGGACTCACGTGTATTTTAAATATTTTCATAAAATTTTTTATTCCGTCGAAAAATTCACCTCGCTCCCCTGGTCTCCTAGGGTTGAATAAAAAATGAATTTCATCAAAAAATTTATTTTGAGAGTGGAAATCAAGTTATAAGGTTATAGAATAGTAGTAAAACTTCAAATAACAGATGAATAAACAAGAAAAACAAAATTTTCATGAAATTCATTTTTTCACTCAACCCTGAGGAGGGTCATGAGAAAATTTTTCGACGAAACTAAAAAGCTTATGAAAATATTCGAAATACATGTAAGTCTATTCCGATTGGGATATATGATTCAAAATATCATATTATTTTTCATCGAAATCGTAATTGTTATATAACTAACCCTACTAGGGCTCACTTTCGGACACCTGGTATGATAGTTTGATATCGAAGAAGTCAAATGTCTCGAGGGAACTAACATCAACAGTTATCGACCCCGTCCTTTATGAATTGTAGGTTTCTTTTTAACAATAAAATAGTGACACTCATGATAATTGCATTTTAATGTAGGATAATTGTAAGCAAATTTTTTTTTTGTTTAAGTTTAGAAATAGTCGAACATTTGCTTAAATCAAATTAGTTCATTGTGAGCAATAATCTTCTTTAATTGATATCAAGAGTCTGTCTAATCATATCAAGTTACCTAAAATATAATATTAAATAACCTAACTCTGAAAACTGAGAGCAAATATCAAAATTCTCTATTGTTCTTGAAAAACCAGAAAAAACAAAACATGCAAAAATGAATTTTTCTTGTAAACTATCAAGTTTCAATTTATATTCTAAAAATAATTTAAGCAAAAGATCTTTCAAAACAATAAATAAATATATAGAAAATCTATTTAAAGATATTTATAAGCAAATTTTTTTCTGTATATCATAGTAAAAGAAAAAATAAAAATCATGTTTTTTACTTACCAAATAACCAAACGAAAAAGACAAGACCAACAATTTCCAAATATTTTTTCACCATACCAATTAATTCATCGTCTGTTGATCCTAAACCTATTTTAGTTTGAGGTAAGTGAATTTGACGAAATTCCTGTTCAACATTTGAGTCTAATGATGGTAATGATTCCGCATTTGTATCCGATGAATCCTCATTCAACTGATTTTGTATTTGTGTAACAAAAGTTCCTACGATTTTGGTAAGCTATCGAATCAAAAGAAATGTTTTTATTTTAAATTTTTATTCAATTAAATAAAACCACGAATAAATAATGTTATAAAAAGCATTAAACTAAGAAGGCATATTTAACATAGATACATACCATTGTTGATGCACTCGTATACAATGACTGAGTATTGACATCAGCCATTGTAAGAAAATTTTCACTTAATAGGAAAAAGAAAATAATAATAATAATAGTAGGAAAAAAAAATTTTTTTTTTCTTTCTTCTTTTTCAAACGAGACAATTTTATTTTTAATTATGCCATAAAAAAAATCAAGAGTATAATGTATACTAAAAAACCTCTTACGCATTTAAATATATTGATGTTATTGCTTTCAGTTCTTTTTTCGCCTCGTTTTTTTTTTTAGAACTATATATCCAATCAATAATTAATCTACCATAAATCATGAGAAAAAAAAACCACATATAAGCCTACTAGTACCGATGTTTGGTTATTCTTATCTCTAATACTTTTTTATATTTAAGATTGAAATTAATATAGTTAACTAGAGAATATTTAAAAAGAATATTTACAAAGTTTCATACATAAAGACTGACTTCTATTTGACCTTATCAAAACAATGAAAAAAAAAATATAGTGTTTTTTTGATGTATCGGTGTAATAAACAAAAGAAACAAAAGATATTAAGCAAGGTTGATCATACCAATATATAATATACTCTATTTTAGACAAAGAAAAGGAATACATGTATATACGAAGTATCATATACATCATTATATGCATAAAATAGAAATAAATTATTCTTAAAGTGTAATCGGACCTGTTATACAATGAAAAAGATAAGAAGATTGAAAAGTTCGAATTTAAAAGTAAAAATACATTTTTTTTTTTAATTTTATGACGATAGTAGATTTTCTTGTGATGAATGTATTTATTACCTGACTGTTTTTAATGTATGATTTATAAATGTATGTGGATGCTCTTTCAATCGCTCATGGATTTGATGAAAGTCTGAAACAATAAAATGGCTACTCCTCTCGATGCATCGTTTTACTTTTTTTTTCTCTTTTTTTTTTTCTTTCTTTTTCTTCGTTGATGTTCGTTGTCGTTGTCGTCGTCACTATATGCTTACGTGCAGTCACATCGTTAATGGAGAGAGAGAAGGAAATACACCATCACAAACAGAAGAATGTAAGCATAAATAAATATACGGTGACTAATCGAAGAGTACAAAACATCGAATTTCATTTATGTTCGATGTTTGAATATATCGAGAGTTTCAATAAAAAGGAAGAAAGAAAAAAACGCATGATATTTGTCTTAAGTGATTAAAAAAAAGACGCTTCTGTATGATATTTATTTTTCATCTGTTCTTTCTATGATTATAATCAAAAAACAAACGAATATAAAAAAAGAAATATATGTTCGTGTTCTCTTTTCTTTTATCAGAATATCAATATGACTAGTGCTAATAATATAGAATAACATTTATATTCAGTAATTTGGTTTAAAAAAACGGCCTACGTGATCAACTAAAATAATATCGAGTAGCATGCAACACATATAAAAAATAAAAGCAGAACCAAATCGCATCTCGTGGTCTTCTTTTTCTCTACGATAATAATAATTTGTATGACATTTTTATCGTTCGATAACTAACAAATAGATTTATAAATAGAGAAATGTAAAATTTTGATATAATACTTCATAATTATATGCTGGAAAGAAAAAAAGAAATCTCGTTTATAAAATTATCCTTTTTATTTTTCGTTTTTATATAATATATATTTTTTATTTTGTATTCAATACAACGATAATTTATATTTAGTATACTAAGTATTTTATAGCAACAAGAGATTTTCATTCTCTTATGATAATCTATTGAAAATAAACATTAATAAAATTATAAGAATGACTTAATTTTTGCTGAATTGTTATGAGAAATATCTAATACATTGATGATATACAAAAATTTTCATTAAAAAAATTAGTTAATTTATTTGTCAATATGCAGATATGCATTTTTCTACTAGATAGAATATTAGGTATTCATTTACACTGATATTTGAGGATATATTATTTATGTTTTCACTGAAATTAAGTATTGCATAGGAAAAAAAATCAATATAGTGTTGATCAGATATATATATACACGTGTGATTCTAATGTCTATTTAAACAGATGTAAAGACCTAAACTAAAAGAGAATCATACAAGTGAAATAAGCAATAAAATCAGAACAAAAGATCTAAATAGCTGTTGTTGACTAGTGTATTTCTTATAGAAAAATTACAAGTACCTTGAAAAGAATATTTTTTTTTTTATGTGTTAAAGTCATTTTATATCATGGTCATGAAAAGACCCAAGGTAAACGAATAATAAAAAATAGTAAATTTCAATTTCACAAAATATTTACAATTTAAATATATGTAACTAAAAAAACTGTTTTTTATTTACATAAAAAGAATGAAAACTTGTGGATGTGAAATCATTGCATAGAGAGTATAATTTATTTTATTTCTTTTCTTTTTATCTTGAAAGGAAAAAAAAAAATCTTTTCTCAAGAAATAAAGAAAGATTGTAACAAATTTAAATCAACATAGAATTATTTTAAAAATAAATGTGTAAATTTCAGTTGTATTGAAATGTACTTTACAATATTCAAACGTCAAAAATAAAATTTCTTCATGTCATGAGTAAGAACAAACAATAAGCTATAGAATCAAAAGTTAATTATATCTCAATGAGTCGAGCTTGTTGAAATCTAAGTAAAAGAACACTAGGGAAATCATTAAATAAGTTATTTATGTATTAGCATGCTTTGAAAATATAATGATTAAAAAAAATAAAAAAATTCGTTGTGCGGATGTTCTCATTTCCTGTTATTTAAACTGTTATTGACATAAGAATTAAGTGGTCGTGCATGTAAGATAAATATTTCGAGAATATCAATAGCTAATGACCTGCAGTTTTCATTAATTGAAAGAGGCAGAGTAGAACATGTTTTGATATAATATTATATAGGATCAAATCATTGTTTAACCAATGGCTTTTCAAGAATCTTTTCGAAAAATCCAAAATAATACTATATAACTTCAATAAATTTTCGACTCTGATATAAACGTGAGCTAGAAACAAAATCAATCTATATGCCTAGTTGTATCTTAAGTAACTATCTTCTACACTCATAATAGCCATCAAATCAAAACAAACTTGTGTTCGACGCGTGAATGAATCATCCTATCAATTTGACAGTAAATTTTTATCGCTTGTCTATGTATATAGACAAGCGATAAAAATTTATTTTCAAATTAAAATAACTATCTATTAACACACTGTATAGAAGCTTGTTTTGATTTGATGAATATTAACAATGGAGAAAATAATTATCTCACAATAAAAAAATCTTGTACGGTTGGTAAAGAATATTAGACATGTACGGGTCAAATTAAAGTTCTGAATGTCAAACTAACAAATTTTAAATATGAGTTGCCTATGGCGTACACTGATCGAAATAATGAATTTTTTAGACATTTACCGTATATGTAAGAGTCCCACAAGTCAAAATTTTAATACTATACATTTTTCTTTTTTTTTTCGTGATGGTTGAATAGAGTTTGTTGGGTTGCATAAGAAAAAGTATGTTTCAAACTGCAAACAAAAGAAAAATGAATGAAAAAGGTCCAAAGTATCATTCTCTTCTAAATATAACGAAAATAGAACAAATAATTGTGACTTTTATGAAATCTTATAAAAATTTCTGTTTAAGTTTGAGGTATACTTGTTTTTAATGCAAATCAACGACCTCTATTCAACCATTACGAAAAAAGGAAGCAAAAACAAACAATGTTAAAATTTTGACTTATGGGTATTCTCCTCCCTATACTGTAAATACATAAGCAATCCATTATCTCATTTCGTGTATATCATGGATCACTCATATTTTAAATCTATTAGTTTGGCAGTAAGAGTTTCAATTTTACTCTAATGTTCTCTATCAACAGTACAAAACATTCTATTGTGAGCTATACCCAGAGAGTTAAAGAAAAATCAAAAAATAGCATTAAAATGATGAAACGAATAAAAAAAATTGATGCATTTGAAATTCATCGATTAACATAGACATTTTCATTAATTTCGTTGCATGGATTTGATTAAACATGAAATTCACTGCATTTGCTTAATTGAAATGTTGCTGTTCATCAATGAATTTGAAATGCATCATTTTTTTTTTGTCTGTTTCATTATCAGAAATGCCTTTTTTTTTCGTGTTTTTGATACAAAATCCATGAAAGCCAAGAAATTTTTTTGAGTTTTTAACTTCATGAGTAATACCTGAAGAGGGTACAGATTCAAAATCTTTCTAACTAACATGTATGTCAAAATCAAAAGTTCATTTGGGTTCGCATAGTATTATTATGGATTTTTCTAAAAGATTCTCAAAACTCACTGATTAAATAATCATTTTTCCTTACATAATATTATATCAAAACACGTTCGAACTTTGCCTTTTTTTAGATTGATGAAAATCATGGATCACTACTTATTATTGTTCTCATCTTACATCTACTACTTAACCCTTTCCGGCCGGATGTTTCCATATGGAAACATTTTCCCCTATAGGGGTACGGCATTTTTCAAATAGCCGGCCGGAAAGGGTTAATTCTGACGCCAACTATTATGATAATGTTCATTATTAACTTCAAATAAAGTACAAACAACTTTCCTAATACAACGAAAAAAGTAATTTTCTTCGATATTTTTACTACATATTTTCGAAACGTTGGTCTCTATAAATTCCGATATCAAAAACTTTAAATATATCAAATCAATCTAATATTTTCATAATATAAACAGATAAGATATAAAGAAAATCAAAATTACTGTAAAAATAAAACTAAGAAAAAAAAAAGAAAACCAAACAAAACTAATCCTTATCCTAATGACGAGAAGAACACCTTCTCGTCACTTTTGCTTTAAATAAAAAATATTTATAAAAAAACAAAAAAAAACAAAAAAAAAAGAATTTGAAATACAGAGAAGCAAAAAAAACCTTTACAATAATATTTCACTACTTATAAAAATGATTCACAATGATACTGATTGATTATTTCTGGTGGTGAACTTATAGCCATTTCACTAATATCACCAACTTCAAGAATTCTTTCATAAAGAGCAATTGTTTCAGGAGATAAACCGGCATTTAAAAGACGATTTTCTAATTCAATATCATGATTATGAACTAATTTTTGATTATGTGTTGGACTTGAATCTGGTAATGTTATACGTAATGGAATACCGGAATATTGATTTGAAAGACGAGGTACCTCATATAAAGATTTTGATGTTACACTATGCCATTGTAAACTTGGATCAATGATAATTGAACGATTTTGAATATCATTCATTTGATCATTTATTATATTCGTTTGATTAAAAGAATTATCGACAATTTTATTTGTCGATATTCGTAATAATGGTTGTGAATTATTTGACGTTTTCTAAAATAAATATGAATAAATAGAATTTGAAAATAGATCAAAATAAAATCAAATTTACCATTGTCGAAGTTGAATTTATGACTTTATCTGACAAATTATTATTTGATATTTTTGGACGAACTGATTGTTTTGATACATCTGAACTTATTGAATGACGATCATTTCCAACTGAATTTATTGAAGATGAATGTTGTGCTGTAAAATTTATCTTATTTGATGATGATGATGATGATGATGGTCGATATTGTTGTGGATGAGGATGAGAAGGTAGAGGTACTTGTGGTTTTGATGAACTTTTAATAAATAATTTTAAATAAATTATTATTGTTAAATTTTTTTTTTTTGGTTAGTTCATTTTTTAAAAAGAAACTTACTTTTGTTTGATTTGATTTGTTGACGTTTGTGATTTTACATTCATATTTAATGGTAATTTTGGTTGTGGAGTAAATGTTGTTGATTTAAGAAAAGGACGAAAAGCACTACGAGATCCACCACCAACTAAACTATTAGTACATGATTGAAATGAAGGTTTAGATTGATTGTTCAGATTTTCATTAGTAGATTTCATTGAAGAAATCGTAGATCTTGAAATATGATTTATTGATAGTAAATTTCTTTCATTCTCATCTGTTGTTACAGTAATTTGAAGTGATGGACCAGATGTTTTTCGACTTGGAGGTACAACAGCAACAGGCGGTATTAGATTTGAAATAGATTTTTGTTGAAGTGAAGAAGGAAAATGAGATTGTGATGGTGGTAAACTTTGACTACGAATAGTTGATGTTTGTTGAGGATGTCTTAATGTTGGTTGATGTTGAGAATGATGCCGAGGTGCAACAGGAAAACGAAGATTTGACATAGTAATATCAATGATTGGTCCAACTGGTTGAATGGATGGTGGAACAGTGGCTGTTGGTAATTGTTCTATTAGTACTAGAATAATATATATATATATATATATAGAGATTAAAATAGAATTTTATAATTCTGTAATAAAATTTATCATGAATGTATAAATAAAATAAATTTTATTTATATTGTTATTCTATGTATAAACAATAATAAATTGATTATAGTTATTTTGTTCAATAGAATATATATTTCGATAATACTTTTTATTTTTATTTCAAAAGTGTAGATACATTGAATGATTAGTAGATGTATTGACTAAGTATTATCGATGTATTTTTTCGCATGTCAGTGACATTGCATGACTGATAAAAAGTTTTGAAAAAATGCCGGGCTTTTTTTTTTCTAAATAATTTATTTTACATGAGAAGAATATTGTTGTAGGCGTTTTTTTTTTAAAATAAGAATACATTATATGACAAGTGAGTTCTATAATTATGGTGTTAGAACACATGAAATGTTTCAAGCATTAACGAAATTGAAAGTTAAATACATTGTCCATATACTATAATTAATGATCTATCTAATGTATAATCTTTCTTGATAAATTTTAAATTTTTATATGTTTTTGATAGAACAATAAAAGAAAAGAATCCAAAAAAAATATTTAAATTTTTTTTTCTTTATAGTTATTAATGTGAATTGATTTTATGTTCTCTTATCTAAATCAATTTGTTCATTTTATTTATAAGAAAGTGTTATTCCTATTAGAAATTTCTAAAAAATTAATTCGCCTATTTCAAACTCAATTGAATTCTCATGTATATATAAATCATCGGTTTTTTTGAATAGATTTAGTATACCGATCATGGGAATTGTTTTAAAACTCGTGTGTGAAATCTTTAAGATAAAATATGATATTTTTTTAGAATTCAATGATTTCTATTCGATGTATACTGTTGATGATTTACTTTCGAAAAAGTCATAAATGAATCGAGAATTTGTTGATTAAACAGTGTTTTATCCAGCGTGACGGGAAGGAGGAGAAGGGGCATGCCCTTGAAAAGCGAGTTGACCTTCTTCCTAAATTTTGTGATTATTTTAACATGTACTATGTTTCTGTACTTCTAAAAATTATTATTTGATCTTCTAAAACTTTAAATTATTCGTTCAAAAGAGAATATCTCAATAAAACATTATAATTAAGTATAACATTGATATTAACCAGTAAGATAAGATTATGTGTCTCAGCAATTATTTGGACATTATTTAAGCTATAAATCATTTTCTTTTTATCTATGCTGTTCTATCAAAAGTAACATTTACTAAAACCGCACTCATTCAACACAGAAAGGACAATATACTTTATTGACTACGCATGAACAATTTTCAACATTGTTTTTCTTCAATCATACACTCATTTTGTCTTTGAAGGTCACATAATGGAGATAGTTATTATTTCTTTTAAATAGAAAAGTATTTATTTGAATGATAAAATCTAGGAATAGTTGAATCTTACTATCACAATAGGCATAATTAACATAAAAAAAAAACACCAACAATAATAAAATTTTGCTTGAATCTGAATCGAAATGTTGATGAAATTAAAACAATTTTCATTTTTCTCTATATTACTTTTGATATAATAAATATGAATAAAAACTCAAAAAGATGAATTCTTTTTTTTAGTTTCGCTTTATCTACTCTTAAGTTTATATATATAAAAACTAACCTTTATCAGTATCATTAAGTGATATATCTTTTACTGCTTTAAGTGTATCGACTGACGAGTTTGAATGTGATTTTGTTAATGCTAATGTATCAGACTCGTCTAATGATGAAGTCGATGGTGGTGTAATACCAGCTTGACTTAAATCTTCAACTGTAATAATAGTTAACATAATTTCAGGTTTTTTTGGTAATTTTTTCTTTTTTTTAGGTGTTATATTAAATATTTGTCGAGATTTCGTATTAATTTTTATTGGTGACGATGAATCATGACGAGAAGAACGAGAATATTTTCTTCTTTTTATTATCGTCGATGCTGTTGTTGTTGTTAATGATGGATGTATATAACATTTTGTTCCATCAAGATATCTAACTTCAATTGGTGGTTTATGTTGACAATCATTTTCTTGCCGTCGTCGGTGTACATCAACTGTTGGTATAGAACGAGCACTAATGAGACCATGAAATGTTTGATTTGACCAGCAACTTGATGATTGTTCACGATTATCAAACTGACGTTGAATATTAACAATTGATGAAGAATGACTATCACCTGACTCCTCATAAATTGTTTCAAGGTGAACCGTAGGAAGTGTAGGAGGAATAACAGGTTGAGTTTTTGATACCATCCTTATTGATTAACGTCTCTAACGAGACATCTTTCTTGTTCTTGTTAATATGAATTATTAAATATTTACGTGATCAATCGAATGATAACATAGGAATATTGTGTTATATCATATACTTGACTTGTTCACTTTTTTTGGGTTTTTTTTCTTGCATGTATGCGTAGAGATTCATTCCTTTATATCATATAAATGATAAGTCATTAATCATGTTTGTGAAGCGTTAATACTATTGATAATCGTATTGTCAATGCTATCCAGTCAAAGATATAAATAATACAATGACATAACAACTAAAATAATAAATACTTTTAAACAAACAACATATAAAATAAACTAAAATCTTTTATTGCAAATTGAAATAGTATATACATACATTTATAAGCAAACCTTATTGACTCTTAAAGGTTTAAATATTCGTCATCAAACATCTATAACAGGTATGTGAACACTCATGACATATATAAATATATATAAATATATATATATGTATGTGTATACATATACATATATATATATATATACGAGGAGCTTATTCATCTACTTTTTTTTCTTTGTGACCTATTTCAACACCTCTTACATATATGCATATCAAAATATATTTTGATATGCATAGCGAACACCTTCGTTCTTTTTTTTTCTTTACTTTTTTGTCTCTTTAACAACTAACAGATACTCTCCTTCATAAACCATTACAAGCTTTAGCTACGGGAATGAAGCACAAATAAAAATGAAAAACTAAACATTAATGTACTATAATTATAATTTGTCCTTATTTACAGTTTGCCTTCAAACAGACATATGACATACAGACACATTATAAAGCGAAACAACTGTCTCCCCTACTGCTCACTCTATCATCCGTATACACACACACACACACATATGTATTAGACTGTACCGTCATCGTTGTCATTGGTTCAAAATCAGATAAGCAATATCTTTTAACTACTAGCTCCACATCGGATAAAAAAGACTTAATAAACAAACGATAATCAAATTAAATTAAACCGTATACTGAAAACATAGCGCATTAAATGATATATTTGAGTCATTTTTTTTTCTGTTTGAAGTATTAATATATGATACGTCAATGGCCATTAGTGCTACCTGTACATATTTTATTTACTAATAGGCAAATATCCTTGATCGACAGATTCATTCATTTTTTTTTCTTTCTTTCGTTTTCTTCGCTTATTGATTTTTTGATTTTTATTGTGCGTACACCTATAACTACGATGCATCGTTTTTTTGTGTTTCATGGTCAAATATACAAAATGGCGACCCGTTTCTGGTTATAATTTGATTTGATTTGATTGCGCCATCCAGAGAAAAAAAACGCTTATATAATGGAGAATGATGTATTTTCTTTTCCATTTTAAAACATTCATCTATCTATAATGTACAAGTTAAAATGTTTGTCTTATATTTAAACTAGTTACCTATATGATAATGAGGACGACGATAACGCACATATATTCCTACTGTATAATATCAAAGATAAATGAATACGAAATGTGAATAACCATATTGTTATTATCATTGTCTTACTTCGTCTCGTGTCACTTTTCATTCAAAATAATACTGATCAGACGGATGACAAGGTAGATTTTATCTTACCAGTCACCGTTTCAATTATTTCGATGACGACAAAAAAGAATATGGTTTTTTTCTTTTTCTTTCAATATATTATATGAATTATGAATTTCTTCGACATTATAAAATCAAAAGACAATAAAACAAAAGAAAAATACAGAAGACGAATAAATTTATTCAAACAAACATAAATACAAATAAATAGAGATAAACTAGAAGTGAATTTATTATTGTATTTTATTGAAATGAATTATATTTGATATCAGATGGTGTATATACAATATTCGATAGATTTTGTTCATTATAACAATTTGAATGTTTTGTTTCTTCATTATTATCAATAGAATATCGATTTGGATGATCTTTATCTATTAAAAAGAAAACCAATATGTAATCTATAAATTATTAACACGATGAAATTTGTTTTTTTTTGTCTTTCAAAGACTTATATTTAAACAAAAAAAAAAAAAGAAACAATTAAATGTTTTAGTTTTTAGTACAACTTATCAAATCTAGAATTTTCGAATCTCAATACAATCGAACCGTATTTTGATAATCTCAATGAAATTTTCTAATCGAAATTGGATAGTCGTCCTGAAAATATGAGATATTTTTTTCTATATTCGATGACTAACTCACTCTACACATTTCTCAGACGGTCAGAGCCGATCGGATCCAATCAAGGCCAGGACCAACATGACGGGCTCTAATTTTTAATACTCATATTGAAAAGATATCAAAATAAATCTATTCAAACTTTAATGAAAATTTTCAGTACCAATAAAAATAAAAATATTCTGTTTATAAACAATCAACGTACGGTGTTTTTTCGTATCACCTATGACAATCTTATTATTCTTCGATGATGGATTAGTATTATTATTCTTCGTTTTGATCGATTGTTTCTGTCGCTCTTGTTTACGCCATTTAGCTCTTCGATTTTGAAACCATACCTGGCAATTTTGTTTAGAAGAAAAAAAAAACTTAACCTTTATCCTTTGAAAAAAAAAAACAAATATTAAACTTACTTGAACACGTGCTTCAGTTAAATCAATACGAAGTGAAATTTCTTCACGTAAATAAACATCAGGATAATGAGTCTAATAATTCAATTAAATATATATAATTTTTAAAAGAAAACTTTATGATGTATAAAAAAAAAAAAAAGAAGTTTTATACTAATCATGAAAAGACATCTCTTCTTTTCATCATAACTAATAAGCGGAAAAGTAATATAGTTTAATACTTTCATATTGAATAAAACGAAAGATTCTTGTCTTATTCTTTTTTTTTACTTTATCCGCAACCACTTTCAAGCAAATATAATAAAAATTAAAATTTTTTTTATCATATCGAACATCAAATTAACTTAAATTAGTTCTTTTTTTTTTTGTCTTAAATACAAACTCTAGACAAGAGATATATTTGACAAAGAAATTATTTATTTAGACAAGAATATTTATTCAATTGATTTTCAATAGTATATTATACGACAGAAATGTGTAGAGTAAAGATTAAAAAATTTTTCTCAGTCAAGATGTAGAGTATGAAAAAAAAAACTAATCCTGCATATCTCTATTATATGAATAATAATAATATTTATTTGTCTTCGAATTACTTTACGAACTAAACCATGAGATAGATTATAAAAAGTTCCATTGAAGAAATATCTCTCAAGTACTTGTGATTTATTTCTTTTGCAATATAACTAGAAGTTAACTATCTGTAGCTATTTTATGTTCGATAGAAGTTGTAATAGTGTACATAGTAATCGTGTGAGCTTCAATACAAAGTATTATTTTTTGCAAATTTTGATAGTTTAAACAAGCAACACTATTTTTAAAACTTTTCTACATGTGGAGATAGGGAAACAGTTCGATTCCAAAAAAAAAACACGAATCGATCTCATCATTGAGAGATAAGCATTTTTCAGTCTTGGTTTAAATAACAAACAAAAAACAAATTTATTTTATTCTAGGTTCTGGTTTTAAGAAAACCCTTTGAATTCTCTATGACTGTCTGTAAGTTCGAAACTTCTTGTTTCTATACTGCAATTTATGTTATTTCGAATAATCTTCTATTTTGATAGTACATATAGAGATAAGCAAAATCTATTCGATTCTCGATTCTAATGAGAACAAGATTTTTATATTAAATATCTTTTCATATGTTATCTATTTCCTAATTAAATCTTCTTCAATGAAACAAATTCTTTAAATACATAAGGTTAAAAAAAAGAATAACTTGAAATTTGACTTTTCTTTCTTATTATTGATAACTCAATTTTTCCAAATAGGATTATTGAATTAATACAGTTAATCATTGAAGTCTTTTTTTCTTACTTGTTGAAAACATTTTTCAAGTTCTCTTAATTGTAAACTAGTAAAAGTTGTACGAATACGTCTTTGTTTTCGTTTATTATCATGTAAAAATGCTGTAGGTGTTGGCGTACCAAGTAATGATGATGAATTTGAATCATTTTGTGGTGTACCAAACATTTTATAAGATGATTGAAGACCTATTTTATATATTTTCTTCTAGACAATTTTGATAAAAAGAAGACTTATTAAATTTACTCTGCATTGTAGCTGAATAAAAACTTGGATGTCGTAATGTTGTCGGTGTTGTACGATACATTTGATGATAAGTACTAGCTGTTGTTGATGAACTTGTTGCTGATGGTTGGTGTGAATAAAAATCTGTATATGGATTATAAGTAGCTGCTGCTGCTGCTGCAGCCGAATCAAAATATGAAGCAGCATCAAAAGGTAAAAAATAATTTGCTGTATGTGAATGATCCATATGATTTTCTCTATTCTTTTATTTTATTGTTAAATGACGACAATGTTTGACTTATTGTCGTTAGTAATCAACTTATATTTGCTTATTTCCTTCTCTTTTTTTTTTTTCTCATTTCGGATAAATAAGATGACAGAATGTGGTGAGCATATTTAACAAATTAAAGCAAGATGGTCGATCAATTTAAAGACAGTGCAAAAGAAAAGCATCGATCTAATCAATCAGATATTGTCTTTTTCATCTCTGGAGAAATGAACGAAGACTAACATATAAATGTGAAAAAAAAAAGAAATGCAAAGACAACATAGAAATGGTTTGCTTTTTTGATTTGTCGTCATCAATTTTTTGTGACATGTCTTGAACGAATAGAAGCAAAAAAAAATAAAAAAAAAAAAGAAATTGATTTGATGACTCGTTCGTTTAGCACTTATCAGCATATGATTAAACGAGTTTTCCAATGGGAGTCGATCTTTCAATTTGAATTTAGACTCTTCACAATTGACTAATCAACATATCTTCTTTTTCCTTCTTGAAATTTTTCTTCTATTATAAGACAATCATCTGTTCATTTCAATTCGTTTTGAAATACGTAATATTGATTGAAGTTT